TCGAATTTGTAATCTTTAAAATTTTATCTAATTTGAATGACATTTGAATTAATGCTCAATTAATCTCATTGTTTATATGATCTATTGAGTGGATTAGGTAAGAAGTTATCACCCACTCCACTCATAGATTTCAAGCTTTTTAATGTATTACATAACCAGGGTCGGATACTCCCTTTAAAGCCAGAAGCTATAATAAAGTATGGTCTTTGTAACCCAAAAAACTTGCCAATTCAAAAACCGCATGAAAAGGCCATAACTTAGCCGCTTATGTCTTATGTAGATGTTTGGACGATAGTAACAAAATTGTAGTATATTTATTTTTCGAACAATAATTACTCCATTTTAGGTAATTTGGGAAACTAAGTTAAACAGAGAAGGGAAAAAAATGCAAAATCTATAAATTAAGATCAAAAGTCAAAACAAACAATGGTTAACGATAATGGCTTTAAAGTGTATTTAATCACTTGATTTAGGAACAATCATTCAGGCATGCTTATATCCAAAACAAGTTTCTTGTTTCTTGAAACTCAATCAAACAGGAAATGGATGTTTATCTAATGGCCCTATAGGCTTTTAAAGCAGTAGTATCATTCCTCAGCTAACAGTCTGCCCCTCATTTTGCAATGTGAAACAGGCTGGCCTTTTCATTGTACTAATTCCTAACAGGTAAAGCTGCTACATTAAGATTTCTATAATGAACTGAGCCCCCCCCCACAATGGCATTAAGATTTTCTTGAACTTCTAGAAATAGATGGTTTATTGCCAATGAAGGAGATGGGGGTTGACCTGGCATGAGTAAATTTCTTGAAAACTAGCAGTGAGGGAGAACTCAGATGACCCACTATGAAATTTATACCATCGTTTAGGTACATTACTAAAGTTGTTGAATTGGGCCAAGCTTGTATTTATAATTAGCACGTTGAGTCTAGAAGAGACCCATAAGCTTTAAAGTTGGCAGAGTGTATAAGAAAAGTCAATTAACAAGGGCTAGGATCAATGCCAGGGCTTGATTTTTCTTAAACCAAACTGACTGGTTGGAACCCATTTCATTCCTGGTCACAGAAAATTTGATGAATGTTGAAAATGTTAACAAGCACCCATTGATGGGAAAACTACTTGACTGCAGCTGCAGATAGGTAAATCATTTAAACAGAACCAGCCACTGAACTAGTTGGGCCTCAAGACAGAACCCTTTACCAAAGGGTCACCAAACCGACAATTTACTAGCTGGATTTTCCCAATACTTCACGTATTAACTTCTTTTTCTTAACATTAAAGTCTATGAATATGCAAGTATGCACTAATGTACATCCACATATTGCTTTTCATTTCTACACGATCGATAAGAAAAAAAAAAAAAGAAACTGTTTATTGTGGTGGAACTTATAACTGGTCATAACTTCAAGGGTCCCAAATCAGAATAAGTAATGCATTAAGTTGAATAATTCCAGGAAGATAAGGTCGGGACACCTTTTTTTTCCTCGGGTGAATAGAGGTGTGGCTGGCCCTGGGACACCTCTGTTCTGTAAAAATTTTATCACATTTTGTCAAACCTAAATGACAATCCACCTTGGGCCATGGAATACTGTATTCTTCAAAGTAATGATACGGCCCGGTGTAATCGGCTCCTTAAGGCTACACACTCTCAAGGATGAACTCTCGAGGCACACAATTGGGCCTCTTAAGTGAGTTCTCTTTCTCGGTCTGATAGACATGTCAAGAATTATTTCATTGGAATTAAAGATTTAGTATTTTATTAATTTCTAACAGATCACACGATTAAAGTTGATTAAAGTTTAATGTTAACGTTATGAGATTATGAGTGCAGGCGTACTGCTATTAAGAGAGGTTGGTCTCATCTCATATTCTAGTTAGACCACAATCATGTTTCTGCCAAGTAGCTTATTCTAGTTGGTGGTTTAGTTAAGCCGCCGACTACAAGATTTCACCTAATATCGTATATATAATATTATTGTCCACCTCCTTGGGTGTGCTTGACCAATTCTCTGGAGTAGCTTGAAAGATACTCGTAGCAAATCGTGCATACATAAAATCTTCTTTGATCTTCCGTATCCTATCCTTCCTGATATTTCTAACTATAACCATTTTTGCATGAAATTACGGTGCATGAACTGTAACGTTTCCACCACAACTATTGAGTCATTGAGACGTTAAGATCATTACCAAAAATAAATGGCAAGCGACAACCCCCATGCAGATAACAGAATATAACGTCGAACAGTTTTCTGTATCCATCGCAGTAGGTCTAGAACCGCAGTATTCTACATGTCTTATTCATGTTTTTAGAGTTCTGGACTCCTTTTTCCGTCAAAGTTTGAATTATTACAGCTATGGTAAATACACACAGTAAAACAAACAAATTTTTTTCTTAGATCCATCAAGATAACAGTTATTCCAATATTTAATATAAGGAAGCGGATAATCTTGTTTATAAAGTAAAGTTGCTTTATCGATAGTAGGAACAAGTCATAATTATTAAGTTAATTAATTGTTATATAATAATACTAATATAATACAATATGCTTTTATGATGTATAATTGGTCACCAAAATTGTTGTACCGTTGTTCTCAGCTGCTGCTAATTTGATCACTAAAATCGAAATGATCAAAGTTAGAACTTAGAACCCAGAAAATCTGACTGAACCGCGCCAGTGCATGCGACAGTACACATGTGAAGCTTTCTGCTTATAAGGTAGTAGTGCGACCAGACTAGCTGCATTTTGCATGATTTGCATGGTAGATGTTAACTGTTCACGTGCCTCGTCCTGTTTACAAGTCTCCTGGTACCCCATCTCAATATCCGATCGATGCTTTTGCATGCCCTTTAAATTAAAGGAATTTGGGATATATATAAACTAAATGATGTTTCTGAAATTAATTGTACCATACATAGATTAAATTAACGGTTATTTTTTCGGTTTTTTGTAAAATAATTTGTTTCTGATACTCTCTAAACTCTGTCTTCCGCAATGACAGCTAAATTAGTAGGTTAGAAAGAACCCACAAAAGTTTAAGATTGGGGACAAGAAAGCAACAATTGGCATGTTCCCATGTGAATATATATAGTTGTGGGGATTATTGGCATGCAAGCTTACAAAAAACATCGAACACACAAGAAAATTTCAGATCCTAATTTACATCCAATATTTCTCTCATTTCCGAAGCCAGTTATACTGTCCCTACAGGATAAGAAAAAGAATGGATTAACTTTCTTTGTCTTCAAATTGTTGAGACATAAATTAAGATCTTTATCTCAATGTCATAAAATTAACATATTTTTTTATATTAAATTATATTTGATACACTGTTAATGTATACTTCCTATATACTATCAATCAACCGCAAATTGATATCTCATTAACAAATAAGTTGAAAATTTAAAAATTTTTAAAAATAAATGTCAATAAACTAGCATTTAATTACTTAAAGATTTTTGAAAATTTTTTTAACTCTCTCTCTTGAATCTTTTAACAAACAAAGAAAAGAAACAAAATCAATTGAATTTTCTAATGAAATAAGGATTTATATGTTAGGCTTCGTGGATAGTTAAGAAACTCTATTATTAGATGCAAGCAATTTTGGGAGTATTTTTAAATTAAGTGATCATTCATTTCGTTTTTGGTTTTGACATTTTGGGGTTTGAGTTTTTCTGGCAAAACTTTTACACATTTGAACCATTGATTTCTAATTTTTTTTTTTTAACTACTGAGTCATGAATTTCTAAAATTGCTTAGTCAGATTAATGTTTTGGCTCTCTTCATTGGCCAAAAAATATCAAAATATAAATTTGAAACTTTGTGAAGTTAATGGTGATATATATTTCAACAAAAAAATTACTGGTATTAGAAGATTTTTGTTAAAGCATGAAAGACATGTAACGTTTTTCAATCATATTTTAAGTTTTTTGAAAATTCTTACGAAATCCCACAATATTTAACGTAAAAATCTCATTTATATTAATATATTTTATTCTTCAATTTTCTCTGTAGTTGAAAGATTAAAAAAAAAAAAAAAGTTCAACCTAAAAATTCCTTAATTCCTCATATAATTTTTTGTCTAACTAAATACATAATTTTATTGATATTTATTTTTAAAGATTTTTAAATTTTAATTTTTACTTGTTAATGAAATGTTAATTTATAATTGATTGATAATATATAAAATATATATACTCTCAATGTATCAAATATAAATGCTTTTATATATTAAGTATAACCATGCATATTGGTAGGACATCGATAGGGTGCCAAAAAAAAAAAATGTTTTGCAGATTTGCTAATACTCATAATTCTTATGTGCAATTAAAGTATTAAAGAGAGATAATTAATCCAATTACCAAATGAAGAAATAAGTTGATCTTAAAATAAATTTCTTTATTTTAAGACTATTGTTAAACGATTTATAAATTTAAAAAACTTTAAAATATTCAAAATATTTTTATAAATTGACGATCTGTTCTAATTTTGAAGATGAGGTATCATTCCCTACACCAAAAATTTTATAAATAAAAAAAATCTTTATAAAAATCATATATAAAATGTATATAATACTATTAATTAGAAAGAGAAAATGCATTAGTATTACTATAGTTCAAAAAAAAAAAAGAAAAAGGGAAACCTTCGTTCCTATTATTTGCCACTTTCTCTTCGATCACATTGGAATTAAGTGCGTGCAAAAAAAAAAGGTAATTTATCCGACCGTAAAAGATATTAAGCCCCGCAAACATCCAAAACAAGACCCCCGCAGGCCTTGGCCTTGGCCCGTGGCCCTTGGTTGTCGACTAACGCTTCACGCTCACGAGCCGTCCAGCACATCCAACTCAACCTTTTCTGTTTTCGTTTTCCCGTTGTTCTCTCCCTCCCATCAACCAAATAAAACACAAACAACAAAAAGGAAACCGAATGTCCTTATCAACTCCCTTACCATTTTATCCACAATCTCCATTCCCAAGCAACCTATGCCCCCCCCCCCCCCCTCCTCTCATTTTCTTTTCAACCTAACTAACTCTTTTATATCTTAATTTCTTGATAATTATATGTTCTTTTCTTCTCTTTGTGACTTTGTCTCCCAAGTCCCTTCCCCCTTTTAAATTAGAAAGAGAAAGAGAGAGAGAGAGAGATGACTGGGTTGTTTCGATCCAAATCTCGCGGACTCGTCGGAATCACTGAGTTCAACCATGCTCCTCCGAGTCCTTTCTTTCACCAAACCAAAGCCAACAACATTGAAGCCAATGACGAAGAAGAGCAAGAGTTTGAAGAAGACGAAGATGAAGATGAAGAAAATGGCTCTGATGGAAACCCCATCGCTACGACGCCATTCACGTCGAGATTTGGTCGTTGTCACGGGCAAAACAGTTATTCGATGTCGAAAGATAATAGCCAGTTCCCGTTTCTGGATATTTTGGCGGCGTTGTTAAGGAAGTCTCTGGTCACGTGCAGCGTGGATACTGACGACGTGTCTTCCATGGATATTAGCTTACCAACTGAAGTCAGGCACGTCTCTCACGTGACTTTCGACCGCTTTAATGGTTTCCTCGGCTTACCTACCGACCTCCAGCTTGATCTTCCCATAAGGGTTCCCAGTGCCAGGTTTGGTTCTTCAACTCTGTTCAATTTGGGGAGAGTTTTATTCATTTTTTGGGTTTATTATGCATTGCTAATTTTGGAATTTATTTTAATGTTGCATTTATTAAGCAAGATAAATCTTCTGAATTTATTGATATTGGAATTTTCCAATGTTATCTTTAAAATTATAGTTTTTATTTTTATGAACAAATTTAACGTCTTGAATGGGCGGATATGTATTCTTCTATAACATTAAATTAATAATCTTTTTACTATTGCTTATACTAATGGTATTAATTGGCAAAAAAATTATTAATTTTTCTTTAATTTCAACTATTCTTGAATGTGTATTTGTATGTTTGATTATTATGTCTGACTTAATTGAGTCCATCAATTGTTTGTCAAAAGTGAGATTTTGGTTATGGACGTCTTTGATTAAAGCTGTACAAGAAAGGGACATGCCAACTACTTTTGCTATGTTTGATGAGGAAGTTATTGTTCTGCAATAAAAGTTTCTATGGTTACTTTTACAGAAAAGTTGAGGGGTTGATTAAGTTGGAAATCCGAGGATAGTGCTTTCGCCCATTAGGATGTGTCTTGTAGTCTGCATGCTTCGTTGTTATTCGTCACAGTCAAATGGTAAACAATTTTTATTAAAATGATCCTTCAAATATGGATTCTGGGTTTGTATCCTTCTGACATGCACATGCCTTGGGTCCAAAGGATTATTTGCTGGAGTAGTGGTTGGCATGGATCCACCGCTAAAGATCTTGTTATGGGTCCTAAAGGAATCAATTGATCATTTGCTATGGATAAAGTTGCATGGTATAGCATGGATATTGGCCATTGTTTTCTTTTGATTTTAGCATGTTATTCATGATTTTGCTTTTTATCATGCAAGCAACTTGTTGAGCAGAGTTGATTGCTAGTGGCTTTCCCTTTGTTTAAAGTATGGAAAACCAAAAGCACTCTGTTGTGAAAGGAATCTGCTGGAAACTGTTTTCCAGAATTTTTGTAATATTTTTCTTCCAAGATTTTGTATCCTTGTTTGATATTTCTTTTCATTATATTAAACATACAAGATGAATCTTTTGCATTGTATAGTGCAAGCGTTTTTGGAGTTTCTGCCAAGTCAATGCAGTGTTCTTATGATGACAGAGGGAACAGTGTGCCAACGATTCTTCTTATGATGCAGAAGCGTTTGTATGCAGAAGGAGGCCTTAAGGTAAGTCTAAGCCTATGCTGGATTAATGACTAAATAGTATTCTGAATGCTTAAGGTTTTGACCAAGCTTGATTGTGTTGGTTGAAGGCTGAAGGAATATTCCGGATTAATGCTGAGAATAGTCAGGAAGAGCATGTCCGAGACAAGTTAAACAAAGGTGTAGTACCACGTGGAATTGATGTCCATTGTTTGGCAGGTCTGATTAAGGTATTCAAACTATATATTATCTGGGTTTTGTTTCCAATACTGATTTTGGAGTTTGTCCTATGTATATGTGATTTTCTCTTATTTATGGTTTACTTTTTAGTGGTTCCTCCCTGTGATTTTGACTAGACTTGATACTAAATAGTTTTATTGGAACTTTTTTTTTTGCATTCACCTGAGTACACCCACTGGCATATCGTTTCAATTTTGAATTTGGAGGATTCGTGAATAAATCACGAGTTCTGATTTTTTCTTTTTCTAAATTGAGATGACACTTCAAAATTTTTTGTTGTTCATTTTATATTTAACAGAAAAACAGGATTATAAAAGTGGTTTTGGACCTTGCAGATAGTTGAATTTGTGCCTTGCAAATCCATTCAACCCATATCCCTTGATAGTAGTGTCTAGTAACTCATCGTTGTCATGAGCTTTTTAAATTTATTTCCTACATTTTGTTTTCATGCATGAGAGCTTTACTAGTATCTCTCAATTGGTGGCTGTACTCGAATTGCTTTTGTAGGCATGGCTTAGAGAACTTCCTAGTGGAGTACTTGATTCCCTCACACCAGAGCAGTTGATGCACTGCAATACGGAAGATGACTGCACTGAACTTGTGAAGTTACTACCTTCAACAGAAGCTGCTCTACTTGGCTGGGCAATCAATTTGATGGCAGATGTTGTGCGGCATGAACAATATAACAAAATGAATGCACGCAACATTGCGATGGTTTTTGCACCAAACATGACTCAGGTTTTTTACTTTTCTTTCTTGCATTTTTTTAGTCTCACCAATCTGATAAAAGTTAGGGGTCTTACTGGTTAATTATGCACCCTGCCTAAGGTTTGAAGATATCATGGTTTTGGGGGAGAGAGGCCCGGTGAGGTGAGTTAACTTCTGGGTTTCACAACAGCCCAATCTGGGATAATAGTAATGGAGGAGATAAACATGTGGATGTGGGAGTACACACAACTGTACCCTTCCCTAGTGTAATAAGTGATAGCTGCAAGTTTCTTTTAAAGAAATTATGGCTCAAATATGTTTGGCCTTTAATGCAATCAGGGCTGAGCACCACTCAGATCACTCTGAATGATTGTTAGGACTGTTAGGACGGTTAGGACTGGAAAGGATCCATCTTAAGCGATTTAACCTTTTTCTTTTCCAATTTTTTTTTTGCTGGATTTTCGAACCATCAACTTTGCAACATTAGCTATTTTTGTAACAATTCACTTGGGAGTTCTCTTTTTAAACACTAGTTATACTCAAAATCTAAATGAGAGGCTATCTCTATCTTTTTCAGATGGCTGATCCTTTGACAGCATTGATTCATGCTGTGCAAGTGATGAACTTCCTCAGAACATTGATCTTAAAGACATTTCGTGAAAGGGAGGAGTCAGCTGCCAAGGACAGGTTGCTGCGATCATGCTCAGTTTCTCCTACCGGTATAACTGACATTCATTCTGCAACCATAAACAGTGGGGTATCCTATGAGCAAGCTCTGGATGCATGTGCATCTAAGGAACCTGCCACTGCTAAGTTCTTGAGGGCTGCCACACTGATTAGACTGGAATGTGGCCCTGAAAAGAAACTATGGAGCTTTCGAAAGAATGATGTAGAAGAGGAATTTGAATCCATTTCAGTTAACTGCACGCCAAATGCGTGTGAAATGGATACTGCTGAAAATGAATGTAAAGGTGGATATGATAACGGGGACCGGCTAAGTTTAAGAAAAGGTGTAAGGCGGTTATGCAGGCACCCCGTATTTCAGTTGAATAAGTCGACTAAGAAGACACGGAATCTTGGAATTGTAAATACTAGAGGAAGTGGAGAAGCTTGGGCGTGATACATCATTGTCACATCCTGAAATGATTATATGTTCCTTGTTGATCATGTGGTGATTGCTGGTTGTGTATGCCGTTATAATGGCGTAGTTCTTAGTGTTTGAGCGAAATTTATAGTTTGTAGGATCTGTTTCGAGGCACTAACTGAAGCTATAGATTATTGATTTCTGAGACAAACAGTTTGTCTACTTGAACTAGCTTTGTGATGTGCAATAAAGCGTTGAAAATTTGATAAAAAATCAGGTTTGAAAGAATGATAAATGTTGAGTATGTAATGCCTGTCTGAATCGAAGTCTTCTTCCACAATGGAAGTAAATAAAAAAGGATAGGGCAAATTTTCTTTTCTTTTCATTACTGGGAAAGAAAAGAAACGGAGACATGAAATCGTCTCTTTTGTTGATTTATGGCATAACACTCTTATCTTCTTCCACAGCAAAACCTCCGGAGGTTATGGTTTTGTTTCTGGATTATTTTAATAGAAGGCAAACCAGCCAATGCCTTAAGCTCAGGACATTTTTGTAACTTGGCCCAAAAACAAAGTGCACCCACTTCATCTAAGTGGGCCAAAATTTTGAAAGGAAGTTTTTGCAACGGTTCAATTTTGGGCCTTTTTATCTTCTCTGGATAAATGGGCCACTGGATTTTTATAGCTATGGAAGACAGCAAGAAATCAGCTTCCTCCCAAAATGCAGAAGGAAACCAAAAAAAAAAAGAAATGTAGGTTTCTTGAAAGCTAAAATCGGTTCATATTAAATGGGAAAAGTGGCTATCACCAACAGTTGGGACGTTATGTTAGTTGAATTTGTTAGATTATTTTATTAAAAAAGAGATATGTGCAGCAGCAACTGAAAATGTAAATTGGTGGAGGGATTACGAGGATTCAACTAATATTAAAATAATTAACAAGTAAATCTTTGTCATCAATTATTATTTTTATTTTTTATGAATTATTAATTTGAAAAAGAAAGGGTCGATCTAATTGGATGGACCGACTCTAAGCAATTATTAGTGATAATAACATATTTTAAATCATGCTTTAAGTTTTATGTATCACTTATAATTAAAAGACATAATACTATGGCAACATACCTTATCTTTAGTTATTAATTATGGCCATACAATTTATCATAAACATATTTAGAACATTTCACATCCCGGGCTACATTAATATATATATATATAGATATATTTATATATATAATTGTTATTTTTTTCCATAAAAAGCTACAATATGAGAATAAAATAAAAAAAGAGGTTACAAGTATTAAAATTCAAAACTTATATTTATTAAATGTCACATCTTAAAAATTATTGTATAAACTAACTGAATTAAAATTAAAATTTATATATATATATATAATTATTTTTTTACATAGAAAGTCACAATATAAGAATAAAATAAAGAAAGAGGTTACAAATATTAAAATTTAAAACTTAGATTTGTTGGATATTATCTTTTAAAAATGGTTATATAAATCAATTGAATTAAAGTTTGAATTTATATATATGTATATATATTTATATAGTTGTTCATTAGTCCTTAGGGAGAATTATATAATTTTGACTTTCTTCAAAGAAGAATTATATATTAGTACTTTTTTTGGATGGAATTAGGCATAAGAAGAAAAGTTAAGCAAAAGCAATGTTGTTGAACTTAAACCAATATCATGATCAATATTGAAAATGCTTCCTTTAATTATTTATAAATAAATGAATGAATATTTTAATCATTATTGTACGGTTAGCTCTGTTCATTTTCCAGCTCTAATAAAAAACTATATATGATGCATAAGAAAACCAGATTTAATCATTTTGAAGTTGAAAGGGATAAAGAACAAGTTTCTAATTTTCTAAATTAACTAATTAAGCATTAAAGAGAGGTTTCGCTGCAGATTGTAGGTCATGGTCCTTTTAAAAAAAAAAAAATTTTAATGTGTCATTAATCTTTAAATTCATTGGCAAAAAAATTTTCTTTCCTTAAATTCATCCTATTTGCTTAACTCATCTTAAGGAAAAAAAAAAAAAAAAAAACCCATTAAGTGTTTTCATCTTTGAATGCGTAACTTTCAAGAACTGCTTCAGCACTCATACCATCTGAACTAATTCTCGGTTGGCAAATCCACTCATTTTTTGGTTAACATGAAATTGCAATATAAAATGTGCAACTGTTAAATTTTTTAAACTTTGTGTCATATAAACATCAAAGTATATAGTTGATTAAGTGAATGATGTATAATTTTTTTTTTCAAAACACAAAATTTGAAATTTTTTAATAAAAAAGTAATTATATCATTTTCAAAACCTAAATCGAATCTAACTTAAAACTAATTTAAAATAAGCTTAAAAGACTGTATCATATTTTCATATTTAAAATATTCCAAATTTAACCAACACTTTAACAACGACAACACAAATGAAGAGAACAGAAACATTTAAAAAATATATATATTTAAGACCTTTTTGGGTCTGTCTTGCGCGGATAAAATTGGACTATAATAATGAACGGTTAAAAAAGCCAAAAAAAAAAAAAAAAAAACAAAAGAGTTTTTAACATGTGGACTAGGTGTAGGTCACAAAAATGGAGAAACAGATTTGAGATTTCCTTTATCATAAAGCACATGGTGAAGCTGCAAGAATCATTTAGATCTCAATCATGCGTTTCTCTGTTCATTGTTGCGTTCCCCGACATGGGTCAAATCTTCATTTTTTCGTGTCAAACAAACGTTGAGAGGCATAAATTTTGAAATCCAAACTCTGTACGATTGAAATATTGTATATCTTGTACTATTTCCTATTATTACAAAGTTGATCGATGAAATGTTTGGCTTCTAACTTTAAACCAAAACAAAGACTACAATTAAATTCAATCATTAAAGTTTTCTTACCAAGTGGGAGGTGTCTTTATTCGGATTAAAAATTAAGTTAGACTAATGAGAGATCAGCTTATGTCTTTATTCAATAATTTTATGAGCCTACCATAGTGTTTATGTCGTGGTACATGCAAAAAAAAAAAAAACGGAAAAACCCTAATTTTTCACCGTCCATGAGATATTCTAAGCATAGACAACGACAACTTTACCCAAATTAATATTAAAAATAATGATTAAATAATTAAGAAGATAAACCAAAATTAAGGGGTCCATTGGAATGGGACGAGTTATTTAATAGTTACAGTAAATGAATATGGTGGCGATTTTTGTCTGCATTGTTACAACTCAAGAGAGACAATGAAGACAATGATGGTATATATAAGGATCTTACAATTTGCAAAATGATTGTGAAAGATAGCCTCGAGAAAACGAATTGATGTTGAGCTGACGAATTGCAATTAAAACGATGCATTTCCGTTGAGATTTATAATTTATTGCAATTGAACACACCCTGAGGAAGAGAGTGAAAGGGGATGGCCAGTGCGGAATTGTCCTTTTTCCGTGGTTACATGTTTCGTGAATGTTTTGTACATTTTGGTTGGGTGAAGCTTTTGCAAGTTAAATTGAAGAGCATGTTATATTTGTTATAAAATTAAAAAAAAAATCAATAGCAGTTAAATATATTATTTTAGTACATATTTTGATGTTTAAGTGCTTATTTAGATTTTGAATTTTTAAAATGATGTGATTAAATTTACTGTATTATTAATTAAATTTAAATATTAATTTTAATAAAATTTATTAAACATAATTTATTATTAAATTTTTTAAAATAATAATTATAATAATTTTTTAATCATAATTATAATAATAATTATTTTATTTTTATTCTCATCATAATTAATCTTATTACACGTATAAATAGAACGTAAGTCAATAAATGATAAATATTGTATGTCGGATTTGATTTTTTTTTTTATAATATTTAATGAGTAATAACATGGTTAAACGGACAAATAATTACCTATCTTATAATTATGTGTGATGTGACCATCGGAATGTTGCTGATGTGGCCAGTACGATAATGAACATGGGGTGTCCACTTTTGTTTGTTTATTTTTCACCTTGCTCCCATAGACACTTGAAGCAAAACTGGACAATAGAAAACAATGTAATAAATACAAATTCTAGTAATCATTTTCATAATTTGTAACAATTATGACTCCTGTTCAATCACGGTTAGAATTAAAATTATGTTAAGATAAAAATCTAGAGGTTTGATGTTGGAATATCTTCGCATGTGTAAGTGGGTGTTTAGTTTGTGAAATTCTTAACTTTGACAAAAAATATAATTTAATAAAAACGTGATATTGAAAAAAAAATGTAATTATTGAATTTTATTGACTTAAGAAATTAAGAATTTTGTATTTGATTTAAGAGAATATAAGATTATTTAATAAAATCTTTTATTATATTATTTTTTATAATATGTGAATAATACGTGAATAATATATTATTTTTATTGAAATTAAGTAACTAGGAAAATTAATTTTTTTATATTTTTAATAAATATAATTTTACAATTATAATTACTACCATAACATCAATTGTTTATAAGCAGAGAAAGCACACAAATTAACCTTCCTGATAAGGTCGATGTGGAGGTTAGAAAGAAGTAGTATTTTAGATTTTATATATAATAATTTTAAGTAAAGATATTTTATATTTTAATTTTTCATATTTTTAACAAATATAGCATCTCAAAAAAGTCATTTTTTTAAAAAATTTATAATTTTATTTTAGAAACATTGTTTTTATTAAATTTTAAAAAATATTTATCATAACATATATATATGAAACTCTATAATTAGACTTAACAAATAAAGTCACCATCAAACTTTTTAAATTAGGTGTGATTAGTCACCTAACGAATCTATCATTTTAAGGAGCTTCTGAGCTTGACTAAAGGTCTCTAAAAGAATAAGTTATGGTCTATTCATCAAAACAAAGTTCGGGAGTTTGATTACATATGAAAAAAGTTATAGTACCTCCCAGATGCTCATCCAAATGATAATATCATTTTATTTTAAATTATCATAAGGTCATGATTCTAATAGTCTTAAATTTTAATGTTTAAATATTGACAATAATTTTTAAGATTCTTCATCAATCTTATAGAATTCTTAAAAATATTTTCTCACCCCAAGAGTATTCAAGAATCTCATTTGTTCTCTTGAATAGGCTTTGTCGTCAGAAAAAAGTTTAATTACTTTTTCATTTTTGGTTTATTTTTGTTGAAAATATATATAATACATCCACCATTTTGGCCAAAATTAGAAATATCTTCTCACCTAGAAATATCTTAGATAATCAACCATTTACAATTACTAAAAATTTCATCATCAGAATTTAATTTTTATTTAGTATTTTACAAGTTTTTATTTTAAAATTTTTCACAATCTGAAACTATTTAGAAATTCTTTTTTATTTTTTTAAATTTTAAAATTTTCACCATTTGAGTCTATTTAATTTTTTTTTATCTTTGAAAAGAAAATAATATGACAATTATTTTTTTGAAGTTTCATTTAAATTCTTTCACTATTTGAGATAAATTTAAAAAACTTTCTCACCTAGAGATTTTTTAAGAAATTTACAATTTGAAATTTCTAAGAATCTCATCATTGGATAATTATAAAATATTTTTAACCAAAAGTTTTATTTTTTATTTTTCTCTTTTTTTGTTTGAAAATAAATATTAATTATTATTATTGAAATTTTATCTAAATTATTCCA